TTATTCTTTATATTTAGCCACGCATCTACCATATTCTTGCTCTTCATTTCTCCTTTTATCTGAGATTTAATATATTTCATATCTCACACCTTCTTGTCTTTTCTGGGGTCGTCTTCTTCCCACTTGATACTGAGGACAATTTCTTTCCCTTTGCTCTAAATGTTATATTTCTGTTATTTTTCAAAACTGTTTCTGCTAAAGCCACAGAATTATCATTTTTATGTTATTTTTTAAAATTACATTGAAAATACCATTCTGCACGCCTCTGACTTCCACCGTTGCTCTGGACAAGTCGACACGGGCGTCCGAGGGTGACGCCGAGGTTTACAGCACCCGTCAGCCTGGCTCGTGAGCCCACCTTGTTTATTTATACCCCTACCTACTTCGTCCACCCACAGCTGGCGCTGAAGCAGTCCTGACATCCATGCGTTTGGACCACAAAGATGTCAGGAGGTATGTTTCATCTGAAACAAAACCAGCATGCACGACCATCCATAAGAGCACAAAAAGAGAGGCGATACCATTGCCTTCTTAACGTGGCTTATTATTTCTAAATATATGAGCCCAGGTGTATATTCTGTGTGATGATCCAGTGACTGAAGTCTTCGCAGGTCAGCCCAGATATTCTCTCGCTTTTTTCTGGTTCTCCCTCATTGTGCCCTTTTCCCTCGGGATTCTCACTATCTTTGATTATGGGCTGTTTCCTGGACCTGAATTGTAGGAATATTCTGGGGCCTGGAATGGAATTACATCCAGCAAGATTTGGGGTTGTTTCTTCCAGGCACCTGGAGAGAGCATCTGACCCACTTAAAGTCCATTTGTGTAAATAGACAAAAGAGCACAAGTCCTTTATGTATTACTAATACCCCTTTAAGCAGCTGCCGTGTCACACCAAGAACACCACCGATGCACGGTATTGGCATCCTTTTCTGTTCCTGTCTCCCAACACCCAATAAAAAAATTAACCATTGAAAATGGCACATACGACACTGGGTCCCTCCCTTTGAGATGCAAGCTGAGATCGGAGCCCCCCCCATGAAATATTCATGCCCACAGAGGGACCTGACTCTAATCAAGTCTTCAGAGCAGAATCACCAATCCTAACTCCCTATTCCCCTCACTTGGAAGGCTTTTTAAAATCCCAACAATTGGGGAAGAAACATCCTTCCCCATATGAACCCAGGATGGAGCAAAGGCTGAAAAACTAGGAGATTTTTCTATGGAGATTCGTTGGTTAACAGATTTTCCAGATTTTGTCTGAAAATTGCCACTTAGTGCTTATTACCAAAAGAAAATGTCACTACTTACACAGTTTCAAATTGACAGCTACTTTTTGCTACTTGGAAAGTATTTTTTTCCCATCACATCTGGCTAATTGTTACTGTTTCAGTTGTCAATGTTAATGTCACTGTTGCAGAAAATTATTTCTGCCTGGTGTTAAGACTGTAACGCTACACAGTTTTATTAATTATGTTCTAAGTGTGGATTTTTTGGAAGGCTTGCCTTTAGGAGTCCTTTGCAGGATTCAGCTCAGGCCGTGATTTCAAGCTGGGGGGATGCTCTTTGTATCTCCGAAAGGAAAGCCCCTCCAAAGCTTGAACTTCGCAATTTGAGACAAACCATCCAGGCTGCAGTCCTGGTGGGCTGCCTGGAGACTAGACTCCCAGGTTTATACCTGGCTCTGCTCATCACTTTAGAACATTCTACATAATCCCTCTGCGTCATCTTCTTTTACAGCACATACCAGTCCTGGTAACACCACAAAGATACAGCGAGCAGATTGCCTAAGAATTCCCAACATAAAAGGTCTTTAGGGGTGTGTTAAAGTCTAGATATTTAACTCTTCCAAATTTACTGATCTCTCATTTAATTCTATTGTGGTTGGAGAACAGGCAGCAGTATTTCTATCCTCAGTGTATCAGTTCTACGGCCTCGCGTTTGCTCCATCCTGGAGAAATGTTCCATGAGTATGCACTCAAATGGATATTCTCGAACATTCCGGATTCCTTTTGGGATGCCCGCACCTGAACCAGCAGCTGAGTGATCACTTACCTGTATTTCTATCTCTGTTCTCATGAAATCCAGCCCAGTTCTTGAATACAAACCATGTGATCCTAATAGACATTGCTTTTTCTTTCTGGGGCAAAAAATAAGCAGGATTTTCCATGATTTGAGGTAACGATATCATGGAATTCTGGAGTGACACTCCAAGAGCGGCTTTTCAGGACCCCTTCAGCCTGGGAACCGAGGGAGCTGAAATTATTCCTTTTCAGTATTATACTTACCCCATAATCTGGCATTTTCCACTTCTAAACGTATTGGTGTGTGGGATGTTGTCTTGCAGGAAGTTCAAAGCCCCAGAATCTGAGGAAGGTCCACCCTGGGCAACACCAAGACTGCAAGGAGCCCACGCGTGAGGCCCCCCCAGTGGGAAGCGACTTCTGTTTCCTGGAGGTGACTTCCCTTGGAGCGACTGTGGGTGAGGAAAGCTGCTTGGAAGGCGCGGGCGACACAGACAGTTGCCACCCAGGGCATTTGCAGAGTCAAATGTGAGTCTAAAACCTTAGGCAGACCTGCCCTGACAAAGCTGAGTTGGCCTCTTTCTTTTTCTTTTTTACTGATTTCCCAACGCTCTGTTCCCTTCCTCATTTCCAGAGATGAATACCTGCCTTCCTGCACACTGAGTGGTCACGGGCCCAGCACGCCTGGTACTTGGCAACATCCCAAATGTTGGCTCAGCCGTTAGAAATATCCCCTCCGGATAATTTGTGGACGACGGGAATGCTTGCCCACATGCTCAGTGTGACTCCAATAAGCGGTTGGTTCCTACTAGAAGGCTCCGTACTTGCTGCAGATGATGTGTCCCGGTGGCAGATCCGCTGCTCTTTGCAGCAGAAGTGCAATCAGTTTTTGCGAGGTCATGTCTGTCACGCTCTCAGATGCACGCCAGGTTCCTATCTGATGTCTAAGCCATTGTTCCCGTAATGAAACCCCGAAGTGCACAGAACTTCATTCCATGGCCCAAATAAAAATCGACATGTTGCATCAGTGCAAATCATGTTTGCAGTCATTTGAGAATACCCCAGCCATTTGCCAATCCCTGCCCGCTCCCCCTCCCCCAGCCCCTGGCAACCACAGATCTGCTTTGGTCTAGGGATGGCCTTGAGACAGGGACCGTGGGTGTAGTCAAAGTAGGGTAAGGGCCTCCGGAAAAAGACCCCTACCAAAACTATTAAACAATTAAGTAAAGTCAGAGTCACATTAATTCTCTAAAGTAAAATTTCAAGCTAGGAATACAAGCATTCTTCAGTGAGATTAGTTAAAACTAAAAAGCCAGGAGTAACTTGGCCTGGAGTGTTTGAACATCCCCCAGATAAGAAAATACCTCAGCATGGCCCATATCTTCATTGTGTCAATTAAATGAGGCTGTTGTAAAATTTACTTTAGCCGCTAAAAGGCCCGGCGTATCTCCTTTAACTTTGCCCAGATGCTGCTTTTCTTCCCCCAGCCCCTAATCAAGTCATATATAACTTGGGCAGTTAATATAGCAGGCAAGCCTGGTCACAAACAATATAGTAAAAACAAGAAAGATTCCAGCCTAAAGAGAAGATTGCATTTTAAAAACCAAAAAGAAAAAATAGGTTTCTTAACATAACAGACAATACCCCAGCCCGCCTTGGGAGCAGCAGGATGGGCAGCCTTGATTAATGTGCCCCCAAACCAAGACGCTGCTATTCTGAGAAAGAATCCAAGCAGTAAATTTCTTGTGCTAACTCTGCAAAATAATCCAGAATACTCATAAGCAACTTAGTGTCTCTTCAAAGATAAACATTTGGGGACCATTTAGTGGGTCTGCATCCCTAGCCCTTTGTCTCTCAACTGCCTATAAATCCCCTAGACAGAGCCCCACCCCGGGCTCTCCTGTCCCCTCCTGGCGTGAGCCGGGAGCTCTGTCGTCTCACCGGATCTCTCAATAAAAGCCTCTCCCCGGCTCTCCTGCCTTAAGTGTTTGCTAAGTTCATTCTTCGACTCCCGCAAACAAGAATCCCAGCATCAGTCTGGACGTTGTCCTATCCGTGAAATCCGTACCAGCATGTGGCATATTGCGCTGGCTTCTTTCACTTGGCATCATGTGGAGGGTTTTGGTTTTCTTGATGATGGGACTCTGCTAATTGGGAGTGATCTCTGGATCATGGAACATTCGGCTGGGAGAGTGGGGCAGACACCCCCCTGGGACTGATGGGTGGGCAGACCCTGCTGGTGGGGACGCCAGACATGGGATGGTCATAAGGGTGCAAATCCCGCCCTGGGCACTGAGGTCAGTGAGGTGACACTCCCGGGGCAGTGGAAGGTGGCAGGTAACCCCGGGGTGCAGGAGGAGAACATTCCCTAGCACACTGGGGGTGCCCCATGGGAAGGAGACTGCAGGATGTCTATGGGGAGTCAGCCTGGGGTTTTCTCTGAACTGAGTAGGTGTGTGTCCTGGGGGAGCCAGCCGCCTGTGATCCCCGGCCTGCCCCCTGGACTTTCTCTCCCCAACGCTGCAGAACCTGATAAGAAAGATGCCCTGCCTGCACCCAGCTAATTTCTCAAGCGCAGCCAACCTTCCTGCACAGATTCCGGGTCTTGAGAATTTATGGACCTGGCAGGGCTTCTGAAAAGTGATGGAAAGCCCTGACAGTCCAATCCCTTAGCCGAGATTCTTACAGCCCTAGTTCCTGCCAAAAGTGCAAACCATCTGGAGAGAGGCCTCGCTGAACTCCCACGGCGGGCTCTCAGTGATAGGGTGCCTGCCGAGCAAATCAATTACAGGATGCCTGCGATCATTGGAAAGTCAGAAAAACAGTAACTTTTTAGTTAAGTATTATGCCCCACGTACATTGCTTCCTCAGGGTATACATATAGGAAAACATGATTTGTTGTTGAAGTGTGGAAATCAGTTGTTGCTTGAGCCTTAATATATGAGACGTACCCTAAAAGATGATTCGTTGTTTGCTTGGCATCCGAATGTAACTGGGCACCTGTGCCCAGCGGTCTGGGAGTGCCCTTGTCTGGCAGACCTGACCCCCTGCCTTGGGTGATGTGGCCGGATGGTGCCTAGTCTCACAGAGGAAGACCAGGTATTCATTCTTTCAGGAACTGACTGAGAGCAATGCACTCCGTGCCAAACACTGTTTGGATGGGGGTCTCATAAAAACACCTGTCCTCAAAGACCTTATGATCCCAGTGGATACAGAAACAAACCATGAAAATACAGACTGATGAACACTACAATAAATTCACATAGACATAATATGCCCTTCTTTTCTGATGCTTCTCCATCACTCAGACTTTCTGAACATTGTATTCTCTTAATTACCATGTATGTCGTAGAACTGGAGCCATCTGACTTGTATGCAACCCATTCTGGATTTTCCTGGTTGCACATTCTTGGTGCAACTCAGTATTCCTGCATCTTCTCTACTTCCTGCTAACTGACAGCAAGACCAGGGACTGTTCCATGCTCAGTATGCGCAGCAGTCTTGTTGATTTTCTAACGTGATTCCCTATTTTTAAAAAAAATGTCTAATAAAAGCTTTTGAGTTAAAAAAAAAATTGTTTTCTGTTGTGCAAAAGAGAGGAAAAAGGGAATATAATCTCTTAGGGAACAGGTTTTCGGAAGAAATTGCATTTAAGTTTACAAGGGTGCACGGAGGTTGGCCTGGTGATGAGCTAGCGAAAAGCATCCCAAGCAGAGAAAATGGTATCCTGACAGCCCTCAGTCGGGAAAGAAATCAAGGCCAGCCTGCGTGGCTGAAATCCAATGAGGAGACAGACCAGTTCCGTGAAGCCACTAATAGGGACAAGATGATTTAGGTTCCTGTGAGCGCTGGCAAGGATTTGGTGTTCCGAGTCCCAGGGCCATTAAGGTGTTCCTAGCTGGTTTTATGCCAGGATAATCATTTGCATTTTGAAAAGAACATGCTGGTCCAGCTCCAAGACACATCCCAGAGAGGCCAGAGCGGATGTAGGGCGAGCACTAGGATGCTGATGGGGCCTCCAGGTGAGACAATCAGAGCCGCCGAAGGGGAAGCAGTGGGGTGTAGGGATGTGTGCGCAGAGTGGATTCACGAGGGCTGTGCGTGCGGTCTCGGGATGGTAGGGACAGAGGTGGTCCTCTGGCAGTGGGAGCGTTTACAGAAGCTACCATGGGTGCAGCTCGTTAACCAAATTTGACCTACATCCAAACTGACCTCACACGCACGCGGTCACGTGCATGCACTGGAGGTGCGTTTTCCCACCCCTGCCACTAGGGGGCGCGCCGAGCGAGGCCATCTCCAGCGAGGCCGACACGCCGGCCCCGCGAACCCTTTCTCTCCCGGCCCAAACCCGGCAGGCCAGCGCTGCGACCGGGGTAGGGAAGCCCGCGCCTACCGTCAGGGTCGTGGGTTCAAGTCCTGCCGCCAACAGTTGGCCAGCCACCGGCCACCTTTTAATCTCTGTCTCCATGCTTCATGGTCTGCTCTTTAAAATGGGGCCCATCGAACACTGTTCGGTGCTGCATAAATATTAGCATTTTGTTAGGCCATTAATGTCCATGATCTTCAAACATGACCTGGTCCCCCAGGAACCAGATGCCCTGTGCTAACGGCTTTCCCTGAAACTCCTCTCCCCGGACTGATGTCTGGAGGATGTGGAATGGCCTGCACAGAAGACAAAATCCAGTGTTCCTCAAAACAATTTGAAAAAGAAAGTCACTCAGCTTGATTTTTTTTTACCTTTCTTCCTCACAGCGCTGTGACTTTCCAAGAGAGCATGTAGGCACCAGCATTTCCCTAATATGTTTTCTTATATTCTATGGTTTAAGAAGAGGATATATTGGGTTAAGTTCACCTGGTTCCAAGTTTTTATGATCATTTTAAAAGACGACAATTGCCAGCTCTCACCCCCACCTTGGTTACCCTCATCGCCAGGCACATGCAGGCCCCACCAGACACATGCAGGCCCCCCTAGGCCCCGCTAGTCCACTTAGTATCTTGGATTTTAACAGGACTTTCTCCCACTCCTGTCTGCACGCTGCTACACCTTTTTCTGTCTTCTGCATTCAGCAGTGTAACCTGGAGGTCTTTCTAGATCAAAGGGAGTTCCTCACATTTTTGCACCGTTGTACACGGCAACGGGCTGGCATGGACTGGAATGATTTATCTAGTCCCTTACTGATGGATTATTTCCAATGTTTTGCTACCCCACACAAGACAGCAAGTTAATAAATGTACCCACTTAACCCTGTACATGTGCAGTGATGTCTGTAGGACAGTAAGAAACGGTCTAAGGGCAAAAGCCGTCATCATTTCAGATGCCAGTTGGCCACCAGTAGGGCCTGGCCATTCTGCACTACATCTTGGAGTGTGAAAATTCTGTTCTCCACCAGTTTCCAACACAGTGAGTTTATTTCTATGGACCATTTGTCCGTACCCTTTGCCCATTTGGGAACACAGATTTCTAATGATAGTTGACCATCCATTATGGGGTTCAGTTGATCATTTCTACTCACAGGACGTGGATCTGAAAGACTGACATTTATCTGATATCACTCATTTGCCTTCACAGTAACACCAGGAAACTGGTATCTTTAGCACCCCTGCTGAAGGGATGCACCCCAGGAGGCTGTGCACACACACAGGGGGGATTCATCTGTGCAGTGTGACTGGCATCTCATCTGGGATTAAATTCTCATTCATTGGGAGATAATATGTAAGTGTCACCACATTATTATAGTAATAAGCATTACCTTTATCATCAACTTTACTTTTGGTACCTATGAGAATGACTATTATCAATATTATTGTCAGAGCTTAAATAAGTTTTGACATTATGATTACTTGTAAATATTAGCAATTTTCTAGTAGTAAATAGTACTATCATCACCATGGCTTTGTTGTTATTTAGAACAATAAACACTGCTATTATTTCTGAGCCTCCTAAGACCGCTCCAGCAGGTCCCCCTGCCAGCCTCCCGCCGACGAATTCCCAGGTGAGCGCTCCGGGTCTTCCGCTCTGC